AAATACATTTTAGATAGAGGCAAAAAGTATTTGGAAATACAAATACAGGAATACATTTTAGGGAGGGCAGAAATACAGATACAGAAATACTGATACTGGAATTCATTTTTTGAATTTGAGACGCCAATTGAGATGAAGCTTGAAGTTGGAAGTGGAAGTTTTTGATCCCGAAATTACTTTCCTGTAGGCTTGGCACTGTGCCTTGAAGGTAGTGGTTTCAGACTACGAGGGGTCTTCAATGGGCTTAAAAAAAACGTTCCTTGAAGGACTGTCCGCGGCCCCTTCCCTGACATCCTATCTGTGTGACGAGGGATGCGAAAACACCTCGACCTCTAAATAAATTATATGTCATCCTAAATCCCATCAAAACGTCAGAACGGCCCTGTCCAATAAGAACGCCTCTGTCATCATTGATCACGTGATGTCACGGTGGAATGGACTGGTATTCTTGATCTGTAGGTGTGGCCTTTAACATTAAACTTAACCACGTTGCTGTATGAAAGGACAATATGTACTTTCGTTGTAGGTTATCTCGTTGAAGATTATGCAGGCGCATGTGGAATTTTCGAGAATAGTGAAACACCTGAAACATTCTGGAACACATGCATTATCTTCTGTTACGGCTGAAAAAACGATACGGTGGCATTCCTGTTGTAAAGGTCCTTCCTGGTGACCCTCCGCCACCGACACGTGACGCATGAATTGCAGTTCTCAAGTTTCGCCTAGCATCATCCAAACAGAGGCCCTGTTCCACGAGCACTTCAAAGATAATCAGAAACAGGGCCTTTAAAACATCTGCGAACCAGCGCATGCAGAGTGGCAGCGCAAAGTCGGGGTCGCGAGCTAATTTGCCGACCACCCAAAGGCCCATGATATAAATGCCACTTTAAATGCCTTGAAAGTGGGATTTAATATCGTTCTAAATCATGAACATGCAAGGAACAGAATTCCAGCGTCTGAAACACTTCCGCCACCGCTTCACCGAACCCTCGCAAAATCGCCATGTGTCGTGTGGACGGACGGGGAGGTTCATCGGCGGAATTGCCTCCGGGGGGGGTCTAGGGGAGAGACACGCGAGCCGCACTTTAACACGCGAAGGGCCGCATGCGGCTCGCGAGCCGCAGCTTGGCCACCTTTGCTGTGTGCAAATCACAAGTGGGTCAGCCGTCCTTTTTCGCACCGCGGTCACAATCTCCGCAACAGTGACCAGAGAGACAGGGATCTCGAATGAAAAGCGACGACAACGCGGTCAACAAAACTTTAACGGGGTAATTCGTTAATCACTCTCGTAAAATATCACACACAAGCACATTTCGGAGAAGGCTTTATTCATTATTTGCAGACTTCACCTCCTTACTAACCGCTGCTGTATTGTGTTTTGAACAATATGTACAAGCTAGTTTTCGAGCCACCAGAAGGTTTCGGGGTCCAACGTCAGCACTATTTATCTGCCAGGAGCCAGTTCTTGGGAGAAAGGCCACGGCAGCAAAATCAGTAGGTATGTCTAATAGAAGCATATGTAGGGCAAACACACTGAAAACATGTATCAACAAAGAATGTAGGGGTTGAATCGCTCGCTAAAGATATACTAGAGGTTGTAATCACTGAACTCGTCTCAACCACCATTCAGTGGAACGTCAGCTCTACAAGGATATGCCACAATCGTTTAAACAATCAGGATGTACCAAAAATGTACTACTACATCTACACACTCCAATCGCACACAAACCTCAAGAAAGCGTGGCAATATCGCCACAGGCAGAGCAACATCACAGAAACGGGGACGTAGCGCTTCGGAGCGAGGAGAAATGTGCTAGTGCACTGACGGCGGTACATGTGGTTCAGAGTAGTCTGAAGACTTGGTTCCCAACTTTGAAAATTGAAAGCTAATAGATCTATAGAATTCTGTGCACGCAACTTGATTTAAGAAAAAGAACTTGCAATATCACCACAATTATGTTACCCTCCTCACAATACAAGTTTTCACAAGGTCCAGGGTGTTCAGTGAGATCTCTTCATCGCAAACACATTCATTGAACACTCCTTAAGAAACCGAAACCAGATAACCGGTCACTTTGAGTAGGAGTATTTCCCTCTCGCATATCACAAAAAGTGTCACCAACCAATCAATCAATCTCTCACTCACACCGGTTCCGCTTTTCACAGACGAGCTTCCATAAGCCACATCCTGCCAAGTCTCTTCAACATGCTGTGCTAACTAATGTGGCACCCATTTAATGTCCCAGTGTCGCAGTTGTACATGCTCATAAATATTTCTGACACCCCGACTGCTTTCATCAAGGCCACTGACAGGCAGCGATGAAGTGAAATGTCGCTTCCACTATTCTGGTGCATTGAGGGGATGAGGTACCGTTGGTAGCCCCGGTTACTGCACACACGTTCACACTTATCCGCATTTCTAGGAAATAAATGGTAAAATTAACCAGGCTGCTGTTGTACAAGTCAACACATTGTCAGCCCCTAGTGTTTTGGCCAAACTTTGCCGGGTTAACCTCTCCGAATGAAACCGTCCAGAACCGTCGGTGCAAAAATTGGTGGTATGGCCAACTTCGACGCAAGAACTGTGTGTGGCCTAAAAAAGAGCCCGGCCTACACGGCAAGCATTATTTCGCACCTAGAGAATTCTAGAATGAATAACTGAACCGCAATTGCGACACTTAAAAAACGGAAAGTGGGGGAAAGGTGGCCGGGCATGTTCCTTACAGAAGATGGCGCCCCAGGAAGCTGTCGCAGCCCTATAAATATTTCACATTCTTGTCTCGCCCTATGCAAATCCACCCGACATTCCCCCGCGCCCCCTCCTCCCCCTTCCCCCGACTTCTACATGATCTCAAAGATGCAATGACAATTGGTACCCGTTCAAAACTGCCATATCTTGGTGCCCAGTGATGGTAATCGTGGGTTATAACCAAAACGTCACTGCCCAGATGTAGGAAATTGCGGCTGTCCCCGAGAGTGTCTTCTCATAGCAAATTAAGTTTTCAAAATCAATCACCCTGGCTGCCGCTTTTGAGGCAAAAGCTCAAACTGTGTCGAGAAGCCAAAAAGGTGAGCTATAAGATGTAAATCTTTTTGTTTTGCCATTTTTTAGCTTTATCGTCGTTCCTAGCACTGCCGTCATTTCTAGCATCGTTCTAGCAACAGTGAATAAGTGTTGTGATGCCACTTCACCGTCACATTTGTAAAAACAGTAATTTCTCTATATAGATTTCTTTGCGGTACGACCACCATGCTGCTTTGGGATGTTGTGTACAACATTCCAAAGACCGTAACTGCCCAGACGCTCGTCAAACTGCCAATTTTCCTCCAGCTGCGTCTCTACAAGTTCCTCGCGACAGTTTAAAACCGCCGCGTACAACGTCTCACGTCGGAAAGTGCACAGGCACGATGTAATGCCCTTCTGCAACGCAAAAATTGTTATCAGTTGTTGCGCTGAACTGGAAAGAAACGTCCGCTGCAAAGTAGCCTGAAATTAATGCAGAGTTCTACACATTACCACTAAACGGTTCCACCCAAGTCAGTTTAAACGATCAAAGTATTGCCACAAGGGCCACCTGAATGGAAGCTTTCTTGCCAACCGTCAACTCAAGGAGCGCAAGACTGACCCAAACGAGAAAAAGGGCTTTGTACCTCGTCCCCTAATTTCACACCATGCACACCACAGATACAGCTTGTGACAGAGCAGACCCCACGCAACGTCAACCGGTGCAGACCTCGGCCACCAGGCGTCGCTTTACCATGACTCGCTAGGACGACGACCCGTCGTGGCTTGTCGGCGCACGAGCCTATTGCACATTGACGAGACGCAGCACCACAACAGATAGGGAAGAGGTCGGGAAACATGGTAGACGGCCAAACACAGATTCATTGATCTCGCCGCAAACAGTCGACTCACGTAGAGACTTCGCACTCCAATGTCAAAGCTTTGGCACACTCAAACCCAGGACCTACGAGCCTTCGATGCAGGAGCCGTCACCCAATGCTTCCTGGGGTGGGATGGCCGGTTCCTCGGGCAACGGTGCCTAAACCGCATCTTCAACTGGCGTCATTACCGTCCTTCCCGCCCCAAGTCGGAAGTGGTCCTCAAGTGACAACAAAGAGTCGGCGGTCGTGCTGCCAGACATCCTGGTGGCTGTTCGTAGAAATGCCGGCGAAAGGCGAGTGGGCACGAGGCAGAGCCGTATATAGAGAGAGTTTGGTAAATGAGAGGAGCGGGCAGAGCCAAGGCGGGCACAAGACGCAGATAGACATGCACTCTTGGCAAACCAGATGCCAAAAAAAATATCTATGGGTGGTACCGAAAAACTTATAATACGTGCCTAACGGTTAAATGGAGTAACTCTACATGGTTGAAAATATAGCGTGCATGATGTTTTGATTATGATCATGCAAAAAGATGCAAGAATCGAATGTGCCGCTCGAACTCTGTTTTGCTCCGAAGGAGTTTGACTGCTCGGACGGCATACCCTCGGCCCCTGGTGCCTGGCGTAGAGATCACGTCGATCGTTCTCCTACCTTTTGATTTTGCATGACCGTGATCGAAAAATTACTGCACCATATTTTCAGGCCCGAGAGTTACCCTGACGCACACATTGATTTTGTTTCTCGCGACCACCGCCAGGGTATTTATTATTCGCGGCTTCTGGCTGGCCAGATTCAAATCTGCAAAAACGCCCTGGAACACGCACAGCGTGCTTTCGGCCAATGGCGCCTCCTCATTTGCCTCCTATACTTCCCAATGAATGACCAAACTCCCTCTATGTATGGCTCTGGTGCGAGGGTCGCCGTCCCGTCTTGCGTCTGCGTTGGTTTCTATCAACTGTCTGGCTACGGAACAGCCCACAGCAAACACCTGCCGCATCCACATCAACTCCTGTGCCGCCAACAGTGTCGCGGCAGGCAACGGCGTGAATCGAGGGACCACTTTTGAGAAGGCAATAAACACGGCAGTTGAAGACGTGCTCCAGGCAGTGCACTCGAGCCCCACCTAGGGCCTCTCAGCCTCGCCGCTCCGCAGTGCCGGCTTGATGGCCGCCCTGCACAACCCCCAGAACTTCCTAGGCACCAGGTTGCGCTGCACGGAGGAGAACTTCCATCCGACGTGTCCGTGACACCCCCTGCACTGGAGGATCGTCCAGGCGTAGCCCGGGAACCAGCTGTACTGCGAGCTTGGGCGGCCGTTGAGGTAGACGCCCGTCGCCTTGCGCACCGTGATCATCTCGTGCACGTAGCCATGCGGGTTCACGTATGCACCCTGCGGACCCTGCTGGGACATGCTGAAGACGTCGCCCCGGTCGGCCATCTTGGAGCCGCACTCTTTGCACGTAAGCACCCCGCACTCCCGGAGGATGGCGAGCTCCGAGCGGAGCCGCTGCACAGGACTGTCGTACGACAACATTTCGAGCCGCACCTGGTCGTCGAGCAACAGGCTGCCGGCGACCCAGTACGAGAAGCGACCCGGGTCGCGCGGTAGGCTTAGCGTCGCGAAGTTGTCCGTCCACTCGCTGAGTTCGGCCTCGATCTTGCGGACTAGGGCGTTGGAGTCGTATTGTCGGTAGACCCACGGCGGCCAGCGCGTGAGGTGCGCGAAGCCGTACGGGTCGTTGCCGCGGCAGTAGGGTCCCTCGCGACGGAGCCGCGACGGCAGCCTTAGCTTGTCGAGGCTCGGGAGCCGTGCCACTTCTCCCACGTCCGGGGCCGGCTTGTCCGGCAGGATCTTGATGCCCGCCAGCAGGATGCCGTCGCTACGAGTCCGCGACGTGAGGATCCTGAACCGTTGGCGTCCCTCAGCCTTGACGACGAGCGTCGCGATGCCCGACAACTCGTCCACTTCCTCTTTGTACGACCGTATCTCGGCCGTGGTGCCGAGCGGCTTGGGCGACGCCGTCAGGGCGCTCTCACCGACGATGCCGAACGTGCGATCGTTCTCGATGATGCGGTGCATCATAGAGATTTCCAGGGGCCGGAAGATCTGCAGCGGCAGGATCTGGCCCGGCACTAGGATCACGTCGTGGGACGTGAGCACGGGGATGGTGTGCACGGTGTCGTCCTCGAAGACCGTCCTACCTGTCAGGTCTTCCATGTCGTCGCCGAGATACGTATGCTGCGCAGGCAGCGAGGTGTCGTATGTCACGTCCATCGCTGACGCGGACGGCGGCTCTTCCTCGTCGTCAGCGTCGTCGACCCGTGGAATGAGCAAGATGATGTCGTCGGCCATCGAGTCCCCGGCTTCAGCGGGGCTCAACCGCGGAGTTTCGGCCTAGATGGCCCTTTTGCGTCGGAACTGAGAACATTTTTAGCAGCAGAGCGCCGCCATGTTTGTTGACATTTTGTCTCGGCGAGTGAGAGTTGCGGATTCGTGCCACTAGGGGACGACGGCGACGACGCTGTCGGCCGGGCTCCGCTTCGAGGCTAGGGAGGCACTTGTTCTGTCGTCTGCTGCTCGTAGGACGGAGAGTTTCGGTTTCGAAAAGAATGCTTGGCGCTTTCGAGTTGCTTGCACTGAAACGGTGCATGCCGGGAATAGGATGGTGAATTCGTACTAGATATTTAAACTAGGCTCTACTTATAAATCGATATGAATACCTGAAAGAATAAAACATCGGGACCAGGACAGAAACAGGAATTTTTTGAAAGAAGTAATGTTTCTTTCGTCGTCCCTGATGTTTTATTCTTTCAAGTATTCATAAAAATTCAACAACACGCTCGTTTTCAATGGTTATAAATCGAACGAGGTGGTGTAGCTAAATTCAACATGCCCACTACAACCGTTTTCACCTCAAGAAAAAAGGAAGTTTTGCTCTGTGTTCATACGCCGAACGAAGTAGTTCGTACAAGAGTTTGTTGTTTTAGGTAGAAGCGATGCTTTTGGCGCTTGAAACGTTTACGCCTTCATAAAGTAACGTATATTTAATCTAAAATTCACCTACATATATCTCAGTTCTCAGCATAAAGAGGGAAATTAGTAGTGATTCGCGAGAAGCCGTACTTTCTTTACTACGGTGTCACGTATTGTACGTACAGACAGATACACAAACGAAAAGTATGGCGAAAGTCAGAGCACTGTCCAAGCTGAGCGATAATATCAGGATAACAAAGCGTACACTTCGTCACTCCTTGCAAGCAAGGCTACCCACCATGCAGTCATAGAGCAGCAGCTTTCTGAGATGCAAAACTTTTAGAAGTGAAGTTCTTTGTGTGTTTTTCTCCTTAAACCATAAATCTGGAACCCGATGCCCTATGATGCCTATTTACTACCATTGTATGAATTAGTATCTCTTACCGCTAACTTTTGATCATGTTTTGTATTTATCACATCCATTGTTTAGCTGTTAAATTTTGTTTTGCGCATTATATAATTATTTTTCCCCACTTCTCCAACAGCTTAGCGGGTCTGCAGTACTTGAAAATGAAGTTTTAAAAGGACCATAAAATGCATTTTGGGCTGGGATAGAAGATTTTAGACTCAAATGTTACTGATCGAATTTCGTTTAGTGGGCCAAAAGATCGATGATAGAAAGTAAAATGCCTGCTTTTCGGTACGAAAATTTGAAAATATAACGGGCTATTTCGTACCTCCTTTCCTTCGAAAGCTGCCCCCTTTTCACTGTGATGCAATACCGATACCCAAGCACGTCAGCCGAAAGATGCGGTTCAAAAAACGAATATTGTCGTTTTTTGACCCGCATCTCCCCGGAACAAACACATTGTACTGCTCATGTAACAAATATTGGGTAAGGTAAAATCAAATCTACTATTGTTTACAAATCGTTAAAAGTTTGGATTAATACAATTTAAACATGTATAGGTAAGCTCTTTTGTCGTTTGCTTTTTAGGAAAGCCTTTCTATGCCCCTTCCTTGTAACTCGCTTCTTGTTCGACTTTTTACGATTTCGTTCAACTTTGCCTTAATTAAGGCGACTGCAATGTACTATCGGGGAAAAATGAAATACAAACAAAGGAGCGCGTGCCTCGTGGTACTGGCTGCGCCGCCTGGAAGTGAACCTAGGGGTGAGGGTGTGGTGAGTGGCCTACTCCGCAAGCTTCGGCATTGCGCCGCTTAGTGCGCTCAAAGCTATCTTCGTTACACACGCACTCGCACCGTTCGAGTTCTCTCCCAAAATGCATCGCACTCGCAGAGTGTTGCAAGGAGAACTGGACTCAAACGAACCCGTCAAATGCACCAAGTGCAGAAGACTGATGCTGCCGCCATCTGTGTTTTAAAAAAGGTACCGACCTCAAACCGAAACTAGCACCTTTCTGTTCGGAGTAATGGGTGGGAATGCGAGAGTGCAGTCGCTGCCAACGTTTATCTACAAACGTTGGTCGCTGCAACCTGTAGTTTATAGTTGCGATGACTTGAAGCAACTCGGCTGTCGTAGAGATAGTTACAGACGGCGTATATTTCCGTAACCAGCTGTCTGCAAAGCAGCTGGTTGCGATCTTTCAATTCTTATAACCGTTTACACTGAAGAAAACTGATAATGCGGTCCGAGCAGAAGCTTGATTCGTTTGAGCATGGTATTATGCGTGAACCACTGAAAGCGCACGGCTTAAAACTAGTCTGTTGGAATATCCAGCAAAACTTTTCGTGGGACTTTCAATTTCGATCGTCATTACGCAGGTGGATCAGATACTAGCCTTGGTGAGGGCGTCGAGAACGAGAGCTTTATCGAACAAAATAAGGCGGGGCAACTTAGATGACGTAGTAAATGTTGAACATGATGATGTTGCCCAAGCCTCGGGTAAAGTCACTTTAGCTTTCTCTGATGCTTATTGGGCAGTCAGAGGTTTCTGCTGGAAGGTTTTGTCGACAAATGTTAAATTTTTCACTCGCACACAAATGGTGATAAACTTCTCGGGGGCCGCTGACGCGTTTGTTCTGGTATATTTCAGCGTTTGTACGACAACAGGGCGGCTTAAAACCTCTACATAAAGCACGGTTTGTCAATTGCTTCCTTCATGAAATAGCAGACGCTCACAATTCAAGCTCGCGTTTGATTCCGTTGCCTGCGGGACGCGATTTCTATCAGAAAATCTACTTATTTTCCTTTTGGTTCCGCGACACATCGTAGCACACGAACTTTCGTCGTCTGCTCCCGCTCCTCGCCGGCCTCGCCGGAGCGAGGCATGACGGGATTGCATTTTGTCGCATTCTCGATTTTCTCGGTGCAGCGAGCGCATGCACGCGCGGGGTGTCGGCGATGAAACGAACTCGGAGAGTGCAACTACTCGTGGAGTGCCGGCCGAAACGAACCCGCTCCACGCTGCGAGTGGGCACGCTTGGGCACGAGTGCCGCGGAACCTACTCGCTATTAGACAGTTTAGTATAGCGTTGCTGAATCGTATACGTACGCAATACGCAATAGTATAGCGTACGTTAAAAATGACCTGCTCGGACCAAATTTAGTTGTGCGTTACGTTTTCGAGTGAACACCGCGCATGATCTTGGTTAAATTTGCTAGAGCCGTAGAATTCGGCGTGCTTATAGCGCAACCATGCTCCTGGAAAGAAATATTGAAAAAGAAAAAGTGTCCAATCATTTTATTTCAGATTAAACCAAGCCACAGCTGCCTCGTCAAGCGCGCTTTTCTGCGGGGTACAGAGGCTACGAGTACGAGTGCGTAGCCAAATTCGATCACGGAGCTTCCGTCAGTCGTCCCGTGGAAACGGCACCTTTTATCAATGCAATCGCGGATTGAAATTCATAACCCTGATGTCCAGTGCATAGGGACAGCTTTGGCGATTTCTTTTAGAGTAGTTCGTCCGTCGGCGATGAACTGTGGGAATAGGCTTAGCGGTGAGCAGATCGCAGCGTCGACGCACACTGCGAGCGGCGAACATTTCCACTGTGCACTCCTTCAGCTGTAGGGCGATCTGATTCGACCGCGGTAGGTCCCAGAAAGAATCGCCGAGCTGAACACCACGCAATTTCACGTAACACAGAACTTCGAAAACACCACGTCGCCCTTGCAGCGCCAGTCGAGGCAACCGCCATCTTGAAACTGGCGCTCTCGTTGGGTCCGAGATCTCTCGAGAGCGTCCCGCAAGGCCCGCTAGCCAGCAACGCAAAATCTCCAGCGTTGCGTGCGTACGCAATACGCTAGCCTTTCTATTGCGTTCTGCGCATGCGCACTCACGACCCGCAATCAACTTGCGTACGCAAAACTATAGCGTACAGTCCACTAAAACTGTCTATTAGCTCGCTCGACGCGTACGGCGCGAAGAAGCTCGCCGCTAGTAGCAGCTAAAGCGCGCGCTTTCGGTCTGCCAGGATGGGGCGACACGCTGTCGGCAGCATAGAGGATTGGACAGGCGATGACAAAAGATAGAATGATTTATGGAGGCCGAGCCGGCCCGTGGGGCCTGGCGCGAGATGATTGTGCGCGCCACTGCTCCTTCGTCGTCTTCATCTTCCTAACAATTAGATTGCTTATGGCCGACAACAACACGGAGCTTCAGTCCCTAATGAATGTATGTGGCGCAGAGGGCCGCAGGTTCGTCTTAGAGTTCACTAGTGACAAATCAGCGGTTACGGTGTTCAATATACTTATTCCAAAACTCGAAGCACCTCTTCGCGGCGTAATGCCGCGTTATGCGTTGTGAAAATCAGTGGGAAGCAAAATCCATACGTGCCCCGCTCGTGACCCACAGATTTCCAGAATGCAACGAGCGCGGTGACAGATTTATGGAAGTAGTCTAAGATGACCGAACTGCATAGCTAAATATGTAAAGATTAGAGGTCGAGCGAGTCGGTAAGTACAAGTATCTAGGAGTATGGATCAACGAGGGTACTGAATACCTCAATGAACATGCAAAATGTGTAACTGGTAAGGGCAACAGAAATGCAGCTGTAATGAAAAATAGAGCACTCTATTTAATGAAATAATTTAGTTGAAATAAAATATAAATAAAATAAATAATAAATTAATAGGTATGAGGTGGTGATGGAGGTGTGGAAAGAAGTTATGGATCTGAGCCTCAGTTTTGTAAAAAGTTTTGGACATAAAACTGGACGTCCAGACAATGCTAGAAATAAAGCAACGTGGAGTAGGTAGATTGGCTCTGGGAGCATGTGGTAAAACACTGAATTAAGGCGTACAGGCTGATATTGGATGGCCCTCATCCGAGGGTACGGAGGCTAGCAGTAATATAGAAATTTAAGCACAGGATGGAGAGATATAGAGATGAGAGAACGATTCCCACGAAGAGTTCTCACCTATTTACTCATGAGAATTGTCAATACAAAAAATTAGACGGAGAAAGCGGACTAAAAAACTGAGATCTAAATATATAGGCAATTGCAGGGAGGCGGATGAGAAAATGAATGTTAAG